GCTAATAATGAACTAAATAAACCATAAATATACATTATCTGGGCCACACTAAGCCTTAAATGAGTTATGCATCAACAATACTCAACATTGTAAAGAGAAGTTTTAAAATGTCCTCCATAAATGTTCAAAATTGAAAAAAGTCTCAAAAGGGGCGGGGAAGTCGCTAAATCTAGCTACAAAGTAGCTAAATTGGCAACACTGCTACATACACAGTGAGTCTGTGAGTGTCATAGCTATGCTACGTTAAAGTGTGCACGACAAAGATGAACGGTTATATAGCATAAGTCGTAAATCCAAACACATTGTAGAACAGCAACATTTAAGACATGTAGATGTAACATACATGAACTTAAGTACTCAGACCAAACAAGGATAATTAACTAGGCATGGGCCACTTTAGGCTCACAGCCACATTAGCCAGTGCTCACTGTGCCATGTCTTTGCCAAAACTCGCTTAAATATGTTTGAGGATAACTGGGCCACATTTGCGGCATCATATAAGCGCCACTTTAGGCTCACAGCCACATTTGCCAATTCTCACTGAGCCATAGCCATGAATAAACCAAATAAAGCAGAACTGGCCCAAATCTGGGCCACATTGATTTGAATTCTGGCCCAGCTCCGGCTCAGATCCAACAGCTTGCACATGCTACATGGAATGGTGGCATTTTGGCAGTGGTTCAAAAGCAGGCCACTACACAGCCACATTTTAGCTAATAATGATGAGAGTGCTGCAGGTGTAGCATTGTCCTCTGGTTTGATCCACGTCTCTGTCAGGGCCATGAGGTTTAGTCTTGAATGACTTGTAATAGAAGTAATAAAATCTGCTTTGTTTACAGCAGACTGGCAATTCCAGAGACCAATAGAAAAAGAAAGTATTGTATTAGTAGACATAGGCAAAGTGCGCAGGTTGTTAGGATTGCGCAGCCTAGAGTGTGTGATGCATGGTTTGCGAGTGGTAGTGATAGTATGGATCTGGAAACACATAGTAAGAATTGCTTATAAAAACTGAAAACAGAAGGGGAACAAGTAGTAGGAAAGAGAATGATTCAGAAGCGATACTTATGTGCTTTGCCGTTGTCCCTGCTCGGTGGAGTCGAACGGTAGAGTCAATGGTCTTTACACTCTTCGGTCTTCACACGAGGAGGGCTTCACACAAGGGCTGCCGC